ATTTGGAGGAACCCATGTAGGATCTACATGGAACCTACCGTTTTCAATATAAATCAGATTTATTCCACCTATCCTCATAGGTGATTCGATGGCAGGGAGTGAGTCATGACCTTTTGAGTTAAAATGGGTTAAACAAAGGTCCAACTTCTTACCGAATCAGAGCTGTTTTATACCGCGGAACCCGTGACCTTAGTGCCTTCTCGAATTTTTATAAACATTTCCACTTCGAATTTGGTCACACTTTCTTCACAAAATTTGTTAAGGAAGCCCTCGTCTACTACATATAAAAATTTCAAAGTGTTTTAAAAGAGTTTCGGTTGTGAAACAAGCATTCTTTGTGACTCGGCTTTCCTGTTTCGGTGGACCAGTTTTGGTCTGTCTTCGAGCCATTAAAAGTGGCCTTTACACAAAGATTTTGGGATTGTGTTCTTCATGGAAAATATTTTTTAAGGTCTTGTTTATAACATATTCGAAATTTAGAATTTTTGGAACCCGTTCCCTATGCCTTTGAAATTGATCTCCCAAATCATGCAAATCTGTTCAGTTGTACTAGATTTCAATGAACTGCCAGTTTTTACTTGAAAACATTGGCTTTTCGATTCGACGTCTCCTGAAACTAAATCCTTACATTCTGGACTTGCCATTGAGGTACTAATAGTCTTGATGGGGTGGGGCAAATTTGAGATTCACGTCTTGTTTTGGAGTTCGAGGAGGACAAGGTAATGGTAAGTTCAATATGAATTGTGCATGCAAGTAAAATGAAAATATCGTTTGTGGGTGTAAATATGTGACTAAGAGATGATTGATGCTGTCGGTGTAATATCCTGAAAATTCGATCTATTTTGGTGATATATCAAATGGTGATTTCATCGACGCTCTATTAGTTAATTCTCGCCCTGACCTGATCACTCAGAGAACACTAACTAAAGGGCAAAGGCTATCGAGAAATTTACTTCTAACAGCTGCCCATTAGTTTGGAATGTACTATAGCTAGGATTGATCGATTTCAGCCACGAATTATAATCAGATTTCGAGTGTCGAATGTTCAAGGATTTCACACCCGAGCCTTAGGACGTTGCCTCATAATTTTACGAGTTGGCCATCGAAAATTTCAATCTCGGAAAAGGATCGAAGAATCGGGAATTTGACGCGAGAAACTGAAGTGAGCTGAGCAAAACCCATTGGGCCTCGTGCCCAAGGGGGCCAGCCACCAAGGCCCAATAAAGTTTACTAGGCCCACGATCGGTACACGGGCCAAGGACAAAGTGGGAATTTGGGGGGACAAAATGTGAGATAATTGCAAAAGAAATAGGGGAAAATTGGAGCATATTTTGTGGAAGTCAATCATTTGACCCACCTCTCTCTCTCTCTCTCTCTCTCTCTCTCTCTCTCTCTCTCTCTCTCCATCCTCCCCTTCAGTTGACTTCCCACTGACCCCCCACCTACTCCACCAACTCCACTCCTCTCTTCTTCTTCTTCTTTTCTTCTTCTCGGTCGCTGCTTCTGCTTTCGCTCGGCTTCTCCATTTTCTGTTGCTCACCGCCGGCCCATCCTAGCAGGAGCTAGCCACCGCTGAGCACCATTCCACCCCGCCAACGCACCACCGCTGTCCCAGCTTCCTCCCTAGCTAAGCAGCAACGCCACCAGCCGGCTGTCGCTGGCCTGTTCCAGCCAGACGCAAGCTGCGCCACCCACTGGTCCGCCGCCGTCCTTCCTCGCCACTCACCACCGCTGTCCAACACGCCAGACCACCACTGCCAACTGCCATTCCGTCCCCGATTTAGCCTCTAAGCCGCACCGAACAGCCACCAGCAGCTGCTCCTTCGTCGCGCCCGTCCACCACTGCTAACTGCTCGCCGTACTCACCCGCTACTGCAACCACATGATCGCTGCTGTCCAGCTGCCGCCACCAGTCGTCATTCCATGCCTGGAGCAGCCTCCAAGCTGCCGCCGACCAGCCACCAACAATCACTCCCTTCGTCGCTTCCGTCTGCCGCTCGCCGTACCGAGCCGGAAGCCACCTTGAATAGCTCTCGTCACCGCCGTCGTCGCCGTAGTTAGATAAGTAAGTTAACCCCTAATCCCGTGTTTAGGGTGTTAAACTTACTTAGTGTAGTTTAATTTGGGTTTAGATTAAGTTAATGATTGTTTAAGATTAGTGAATAAGTTATCAGTGCATTATTTGATAACCATGGATGATAGGTTATCGTTGGATGGATAGGTTATTGTGGGAAATTGGTGATAGGTTATCGGTGAATTTGGCGATAGGTTATCGAGAATTGATTGATTAGTTATCAGTAATTAAACGATAGGCTATTACTATTTACGTGATAGGCTATCGGTGTATGGACGATAAGTTATCGTTAATTTTGGTGATAAGTTATCGATTATTTTAATATTAATATTTCTTTTATCGAATAAATTAATTTTCGGAATTAAATATTAATATTTTATTATATAAAATAATAATAAATAAATATTTTATTTCCGAGAATTAAATATTAATATTTTCAAATGATTTTTAATGCCAAATTGAGATCGTTTTATGTTTGAATTGTGGCGCAAATGTTGGATTTCGCTATACAAATTAGCGTATATGGCCAAATGATTTGAACTTTTATTTTCAAGAAAAGATTTTGAATCTTTGAAAATGAATCATTTTTATAATTATGTTTGAGAAAGGAATTTGACGCCTTGAAAAGGTAAAGGATGTTTTGAAATGATGTTTTTACAAAGTCGAGCTATTGTTTGCATATGTGATCACTTGAAATTGTATGTAGCATTGATTCGAGCACGATCCATGTTTACATGGGGCAATTGAAAAGATAAGAATTGGCTTGAATGCTCGTGTGCTCATGTGATCACATGTTGGAGCCATCTCGCTGTGTATCGCTTGACGATGCCCGATTTGTCAAGGTCTGCTGTGTATCATGCTCGATTTATCAGATGCCTGGAGATTATCTGGATTGCCAATACTCCGGATTCCAAATCGCGGCCCGATGGCGGATTTGATGCTCCATACGGGATACCATCTTACTGTGTATCGTTTGATGTTGCCGTATTAAAATGCCATCTCACTGTGTCTTGCTTGATGTTGCCGTGCCCGATGGGGCGGGACGATGTCCAGTCATGCCAGAAGACTACCATCTCGCTGTGTATCGCTTGATATGTAGTGGCCTAGAGGGGTCGTAATAATTGGAACACGAATGTTGCATAATATTTGATTATGTGGTGAATACTACTAGGAATGGTATGAGACGTGCCCGAGTAGTTTTACTTTATAATCGAGACATGCGCACGAGTGTGGATGCATGATGCATGGGAAATCTCTTATTGTGTTCTGAGTACGTGTTATGCAGTATGCATTATTGTGATGTTTGTTGGCTGATGTCATGCATGCCATGGCGAGGTCAAGATGCTTGTGATTGTTATTCGGCATGTGATTGACCCGTATATGATGTGCGGTTGCCTGACTAGGAACCCCGAGGTGAGTTGGCCTTCTAAATGGAGGGTTAAGTCATTAACTTATTGAGATGTTTATCTCATTGTTGTTTTATTAACCATTTCAGACTCTCGAGCATGAATCGCCTGCCCATACGTTTTGGCGCCCTGATGGACATAGATTCGGAGTATGTAGAGTATCCGTTTGGTTCGGACAGAGCTTATCGGAAGCTAGTGTCCACTGTTTGGGTAGATGTAGGTCTAGGCCCTTGGCAGGCTCACGAGTATGTAGCATGGTATATTCAGGAGGGTGATAAAAATTTTGGTTCGATCCGTGGCTTCGATGGACCCCCAGGAGGTGGTTTCGAGGAGGTTTTGTAGGATCCCATGGAGCTCGATATCCCGGATGGGGAGGTGATCGAGCCGGACACCGGTCCGTCTGATTCGAGTTCGGAGGATTCGGACCCCGAGCTGGATTACATAGTATCTGATCCGAAGTCGCCACCGGGACCACATGGGGGTTGGTGATGGGTTAGGACACCCCATACTTTTTGGACTGACCTACTGATGGTGAAGTAGATTGACCCTAGCCACTATATTTTTGTAGGTTTTTTATGGAAATGCCCGAAGTGGGCTTGTAAAAAAAATGTTTCCCAGAGGTTAGTCAAGTAAATATTAAAATAGTGTTGTTGTTTGATTGCTGTGAATCGTTTTCCTACCTATCCCTATTTATTGTTGTTGTCTGGGTGTTGGTTGTTATCGCTTCTGCATGCGTAATCAAAATGAAAGGGTCAACGACGAGTCTTGGGACGTCGCATCTTAACGACCATTGTGGGATGTTGCGCGCTCGCGGGATTCGAGGCGTGGCATCCCTGTACGAATTGGTATCAAAGCAAGGTTAGCTCGATCCAAGTTTGATAACGACTTTGAGTGATAAGGTGCGAAAGGTTTTGGGATAGTAACTTAGGAAAACCCTCTGTACCTATGCTTGGTTATTAGATTTCTCGTTTTTAAGTAGGTTGTTCATGAATTATAATTCCTTGTTAGAATTGGAAAGTAGGTTTCTATAAAGATCCTGCAAGATGAGTAATCCTGACCTGAGAGCCCCTAGGAGGCGGGCCGAGCCAGGTCAAACTAGTGCTGGAAGGAGAGCACTAGAGGATCCTAGATTGGACTGGATCCTGTAGACCTTAGAAACTTTGGTAGGGCAGCAAGCACAGAACCAAGCTGTTGCCGCCGTTGCTGCTACTGTGCCTACACCTGCACCTATACCTGTAGATGTTCCATTGGCTGGAAACGAAAATGGGAATCAGCCCATGCATAAGTTGGCGGAGCAGTTTCTAAAGCTCAAGCCGCCCAAGTTCACTGGCACAGGTGATCCTGAGGCTGCAACCCTCTAGAACAGGGAATTAGAAAAGGTTTTTGCCCTGCTGAGATGTTCGGATGAAGATAAGGTGATGTTGGCAGTCTACCAGTTGCAAGGTAATGCCAGTACTTGATGGGAAGCTACCCAGATGAGGGTATTTCCTGAAGGAACGGCCCGAGTGTAGGGTACCTTCATGGAAGCTTTCTACAGTCAGTACTTATCAGAGTGCGCTAGAGAACATAAGATGAATAAGTTTCAGCGTCTTCGACAAAACCAATTGTTGTTAGACCAATATGAGGCTAAGTTTGCTGAATTGTCCAAATATGCACTGAGGTTGGTTGAAGACCCGGTTGATAAGGCAAGGAGGTTTAGGGATGGGTTGAAACCCGAGATCAAGGATCAACTTGTGCCCCCGAATCTGAAGGACTATGATGAGTTGTATGAGAAGGCACAATTGATTGAGAGGAACTTGGCTGAGAAGGCAACCGCGTCTGGATCGCGATTTGTTCCAAACAAGGATAATCATCGGTTTAGGAAGAAATCGATGACAGGGAGTAGGTTTCCTGTCCCTCCTAACAAGAAAGGTGGCGTGAAGAAGCTGGCATCCAATCAAAACGGTACATGCCGCTTTTGCCGTAGGAACCATGGATCAGCCCCGTACCCTATGACGACGGGAGCTTGCTTTGGGTGTGGCCAGCACGGCCACCACATTAGGGACTATCCACACCAAGTCACGGAAGCGCAAGGACCAATGCAGCAAGTAGGACAACCTGCAAGGAATGCCCCGCCAAATCAATTGAACCGACCCCAAGTACAAGGAAGGGTCTATGTTGTCACAAGGAAGGAGGCAGAAGACTCACCCGCCGTAATTACAGGTACGGTCTCGTTACATGACCATACTACTTATGCTTTGTTTGATCCTAGAGCTACGCATTCGATTGTGGCTATGCAATTTGTGGAATTAGTGGGGTTGAGTCCGAAACCGCTGGGAGTGGTCTATAGTATGTCTACCCCTTTAAAGGATAGCGTAGTATCGGCAGTAGGTTGTGCTAATTGTAAGTTGTTTGTTGGTGGTCGTGAGGATAGCATAGATTTGATTGTCTTGACGATGTTTGACTTTGATGTGATTATTGGATTGGCTCATCAAGTAACGAGCCACAGTAACCTGTTATCGTAAGACGATTCAGTTTGAGCCTTTAGGGAGTATTGGCTTTGAGTTTGTCGGGAATCGATGAGGACCATCGATTCCTTTGATCTCGTCACTTAAAGTTACTCGATTATTGGACGAGGGTTGCCAAGGTTATTTGGCAACTATAGTTGACACTATGGTAGAGGAACCGAGGATGCAAGACATCGATGTAGTACCAGAGTTCTCTGATGTTTTCCCTGAAGAATTGCCTGGATTGCCCCCAGAAAGGGAAATAGAATTCGTGATTGAGTTAGCCCCTGGAACGGAGCCGATTTCTAAGGCACCTTACTGAATGGTGCTGTCAGAACTGAAGGAGTTAAAGGTTCAAATGCAGGAGTTGTTGGACAAAGGATTTATTTGTCCTAGTGCATCACCTTGGGGAGTGCCAGTCCTATTTGTATGAAACAAAGATGGTTCATTGCGCCTTTGCATCGACTATAGGCAACTCAATCAGGTGACGATTAAGAATAAGTATCCGTTACTGAGGATAGACGATTTGTTTGACCAACTTCAAGAAGCTTCGGTATTTTTGAAGATAGGCTTGAGGACAGGTTATCACCAGTTGAGGATTAGAAAGGAAGATATACCGCAGATGGCATTTCGGACACGCTATAGACATTACGAGTTTACCGCGATGCCGTTTGGTCCGACAAATGCACTTGCAGCTTTCATGGACTTGATGAACAGGGTGTTCAAGGAGTATTTGGACAAGTTCATGATTGTATTCATTGACGACATTCTGGTGTATTTGAGGAGTCCAGAGGAACACGAACAACACTCGAGGACAGTGCTGCAAACCCTTGGAGACCGTAAACTATATGCCAAGTTTAGCAAATACGAATTTTGGTTAACTCGAGTAGCTTTTCTTGGACATGTGACTTCTGGGGAAGGAATTTCAGTAGATCTAACTAAGATCGAGGCAGTTACGAATTGGCCAAGACCAATGACGGTAACTGAAGTTCAGAGTTTTTTGGGATTGGCTGGCTATTATAGGAGGTTCGTGGACAAGTTTTCTGTGATAGCCATGCCTTTGACGCAATTGTTGAAAAAGGACACAAAGTTTAAATGGACTGATAACTGTGAGCGTAGTTTTCAGAGCTTAAGCAGAAGCTAACTACTGCGCATGTTTTAACGTTACCGTTTGGTTTAGGAGGTTATGAGATTTACAGCAACGCGTCACACAAAGGATTAGGATGCGTCTTAATGCAGCATGAAAGAGTTGTGGCTTATGTGTCCCGACAATTAAGACCACACAAATTGAATTACCCGACGCACGACTTGGAGCTAGCAGCGATCATTTTCGCACTCAAGATCTGGAGGCATTATTTGTGCAGGAAAAGGTTTCATATTTATACGGATCATCATAGCTTAAAGTATTGTTCTAAGAAAAGGAATTGAATATGAGACCGCGTAGATGGATGGAGCTGCTTAAGGACTATGACTGCGAGATTCTATACCGTCCTGGTAAGGCTAACAAGGTAACTGATGTATTAAGTCGGAAGTCTTCAATCGCGCATATGATGGTTCAACAATGGCTTTTGCTTGAAAGAATTTGGGACTCGGATTTCAAGTTCAAGGTAAGTCACTTCTCGAGTTTAATGGCTACTCTCAAGATTGAGCCTGAAATGCAAACTAGGATTAAAGCAGCACAACCTTCAGATCCTAAACTGCAAAAGATTCTGCAAATGGACGCCACTAAGAGAAAATCTGACTTTCAAGTTTCCGAAGATGGGATCTTGAAGTTTCATGGACGGTTGTGCGTACCCAATGATGAAAGAATTAAGAAGGAAATTTTGGCAGAAGCTCACCGCAGTAACTACAGTATCCATCCGGGCAGCACGAAGATGTATCAGAATCTACGCCAATATTATTAGTGGAATGGCATGAAGGGAGATATTGCCAAGCATGTGGCTAGATGCTTAACGTGTCAACAGGTGAAGGCACAGCATTGTAAGCCTGGCGGACTGCTGTAACCACTGGAAATACCAGAATGGAAATGGGAGCATATTACGATGGATTTCGTGATGGGTCTATCGAAGAGCCAAAGAGGTAATGATTCTATCTGGGTTGTGGTGGATAGACACACAAAGTCTACTCATTTCATTCCGGTGCGAAAAGACTTTGCCATGGACAAGTATGTTGAGTTGTACTCTAGGCATATAGTTTGTCTTCATGGTGTGTTGGTAACGATCACGTCAGATCGTGACCCTAAGTTCACCACTACGTTCTGGAAGAGTTTTCAAGGCGCTATGGGAACAAAGTTGCAGTACAGCACCACTTTTCATCCGCAGACAGATGGCCAATCCGAGAGAATGATTTAGACTCTCGAGGATATGCTGCGGGCCTATATTATGGATTTCAAAGGAAGTTAGGAGGAACAGTTACACCTTGTTGAGTTCGCGTACAACAACAGTTATCAGCAAAGTATTAGAATGGCACCTTTCGAGGCGTTAGATGGCAGACCCTATAGGACTCCTGTTTGTTGGAACGAAGTTAGAAAACGAAAGATTACGGGACCCGAGTTGGTGCAACAGTCGTCGGATGATGTTAAAGTTATCAGGGATAGGCTAAGGACGGCCCAAAGTCACCAGAAAAGTTACGCAGATAGGCAACGTAAACCATTGGAGTTTCAAGTCGGAGATCATGTGTTCCTCAAGGTATCACCAATGCGAGGAATGTAGCATTTTGGCAAGAAAGGCAAGCTAAACCCAAGATATGTAGGACCGCTTGAGATCTTGGAGCGAATTGGATCATTGGCGTATCGCCTAGCTTTGCGGCCAAGGTTGGCTCAGGTACATGACATATTCCACATGTTAATGCTAAGGAAGTATGAACTGGATCCGACCCACGTTCTGAATTACGAAGAGATAGATGTAGACGATAAAATGTCGTACGTGGAAAAACCAGTGAGAATCGAGGATCAAAAGAAGCAGGTACTACGAAACGAAACGATTCCTCTAATCAAAGTTGTGTGGCAACATCATGGAACCGAGGGAGCCACGCGGGAAAGTTAAGAGATAATAAAGAGTCAATACCCCTTTCTTTTTGAGGAATTAGATGTAAATTCAAATTTCGGGGACGAAATTTCTGTAAAGAGGAAGAATTGTGATATCCTGAAAATTCGACCTATTTTGATGATATATCAAATGGTGATTTCATCAACGCTCTATTAGTTAATTCTCGCTCTAACCTGATCACTCAGGGAATACTAACCAATGGGCAAAGGCTATCGAGGAATTTACTTCCAACAGTCGTCCGTTAGTTTGGGATGTACTATAACTGCGATTGATCGATTTCAGCCACGAATTATAATCCGATTTCGAGTGTCAAATGTTCAAGAATTTCACACCCGAGACTTAGGACGTCGCCTCATAATTTTACGAGTTGGCCATCGAAAATTTCAATCTCGAAAAAAGATCAAAGAATCGAGAATTTGACGCGAGAAACGAAAATGAGCCAAGCAAAACCCATTGGGCCTTGCGCCCGAGGGGGAGGGCCACTGTCACGCCCCGAACCTTACGGGCTCGTGATCATCCCTCCGGGGTCGAATCAGTGCGACGTTCCAGGACGCGTCGCCGACCCAAAACCCAACAACAGAGAACAATGCATATCGGAAATAACAAACACCCGTACAATATAAAATCACATAACCAAGGGTAGCAATAATTAAAATAAATACAACTTGCATTCACAACTGGGATTTACAATATCCATTGCCAGGCAATATACACCAACCAAAATAAGGGTCAACAGCCACTAACATCAAAAAGGGGTACGTGGCTCGGGGGTCAGGCACTAACTCTAATAAGGGCTCTATCAAAAAGTGTCGGCCCTGCCTAACCATGGTCAAGGACTAAACCCTAGGGCATCCAGTCTGGATCGGATCCTGAGGACTCGAACGAATCGTCAGCTGACCCGTACTCGGAATCCATCGAATCCTGCTCAGACTCGGCTCCCACTGACTCCTCCCCGGAATCATCCTCCGGCTCTAGCTCCTGCTCCATGGGCTTCGGCTCGTTGTCGGACTCCCAGTCCATCGGCTCCTCTCCCTCCGACTCGATATCCATCTCGATGATGACTGGCCGGGTACCGGAATCCTCCTCGGATGTGGCAGCGGGGCTCACGACCTCTCCATCAGCGGCCTGCAGATCCGGCTGATCATATATGTCGAACGGGATGTCGAAGGACCAAAGAGGTCCATGCGTACCGAACTGGTCCCGGAAACACCAATCGAGATAAGGATGGGCCCGGAAATGTGGTCTGCCCTCGTCGACCCAAACTATATTGAAATACCTAATATACGACTCCCCGTTCCCTACGGGGTGTACCGTCACCGATCGCTTTATGCGATACGGGATCCCAAAACGGAGTGGCGCATCCACCATCTCAAGGTCGGGGGTCTGAAAAGTGGGGTTTAAACAACAATGAGAATAAATCTCAGCGAGTAGACCCCCTAAACCGAAACTAGGCTAACATGCACCTCCCGGACAAGCATCAACTAAACACACAGTTGTTCAATCACATGACTTAGGCCCTCGGGCACAAATCAAGCATATAGTGACCCTGCAGGTTAGGCACATAATAATAATAATACTATGCCCAGCAATGCACATACACATGTCAATTAGCCACTGTCACATGCCGCACACATGTTTGCACTCATTTATGCACTCTTCGCACACTTGCCAATGTCATGCTTATGCTTGCATAATTCAATGCACACTTGCACACTTGCACACTTGCACACGTGCCAACTTTCCATTTATTCATCGACCCGTGTAAAACGCATCAGGTCCGACTCGCGTAGCACGCATCAGGTCTATCACTTTTCAATCGATCTCCGGCCCGCGTTAAACGCATCAGGCTCATGACACAACCCGCGTGTGGGACGCCTCAGGTTAGCCATCTTTCGATAATTCGGGCATCGTCCCGCGTTAAACGCCTCAAAACGGGTTCATTACCCCGCGTAAACGACGTCTCAGGGTTTA